GTGCAGTATTTTTTTAATTTTAATGATGAATATAACTGACTGAAAAGGGAGTGCAGTTAACTCCAAAGTATTACATGCCAGCTTGATGGTATGTAAGCTTTAATCAACCAATTCTCTAGCTAGCCTTTGCATACTTGAGTGTTTTGCATAAGTAAGGTATTTTCCCTCTCTTCTCCACTGATCCTTTAGGTCAGCCCTAATCAATAAGCTCTGTCTTCCAGTTTTTTGTATTCTTCCTTGGGTTGATCAAGGATAAGTTAGAGGAGCATATCCTCTGTCTATTTATAAGGAAATAGACATTGAAATAAAAACCAAAACTAATCATGGTGTGATGAAACAAACTCCCTCATCCAGTGCTAATGGCATTGATGGAGTCACTTTAGAAATAAGTTGGCAACAACATAGCAAATTCTATAAATCTGTTAATTTGTAATTTACCATTTTGCCAGTATTCTAAAAAACAATATACAAAAGGGAAACCAGTATTAGTACAAACACTTTACCTTAAATGTTACTTAGTTTTAAAAAATGGGTATATCTTATCAATTAGGGCAGTAGTTTACATTTAAAGCCCCATTGATTAATATGATGCATCATTAGAAAATAATATACCCAGCGAGTAAGAAGATAAATCCCTTTAATACATTAAGTGAAAAAGAAGATTATTAATAGAAATCCATATACATAAACTATTTTCAACAAGTTTTAAGTTTTATAGAAATATCCTGATTGTAAATGATGCTTTTACATATTTTAATCCACTTGTAAGTGTTATGTAATATGAATAATAAAAGTTAAAAAAGAAGAATGAGAAATAAATGCCTTTATAGATTAGGCAGAAAAAATTCAAACCATGCCTTTTGGTATTTCAGTTAATTTCGAAACTGCATAAGTACCTTTTAGCTCCCATCTTGATGATGAGACTAATCCTGCCTGGAAGGTTCACCTGAAAAGCATATTGCACAGAAAGAAAGCGAGAATCATTGCATTAACAGAAAGAATGTGAAAATGAACCAAGTCTCATATAACAACTACGTTCACACCTTCTCTTTCCTTGCATTTTCCCATATTCTCTTCATTTAGCTTTTGGTCCAAAATTCACATTTCAGATAATTTCAGTTCATTTTACTGCTTAAAATTATAATACATTAAGATAGATACTAAGTTACATTTTTCACTAGAATCAATTTCCATGATGATAGTATTGACAATGTTTAATATAAGTTTATAAAATATACCACAATACCTAAAAATACCAAACCTAGTATAGTAAACTAATATTGATTTTAGCTGCTATCTAAAAATTCTGGTTCATTTGAACTTTTTTGTGCAAGGCCTTCTTACCCATCTTATTATGCACATTGAAAAAAATCCAAGTGAACCATTCCTCTATTTACCTGTATCTAACTCCTATAGAAGAAGATCTTATGAAATTATAGTTTTGCATATATCCAAGGCACAGTTACTTTCACCAGTTGTGATATTTTTGTGGTGTTATAAAATAGTCCCTCAAAGTAGTTATCTACATTAATAAAAGCAAAATCAAGGTACATTTACTATAGATCACTATGAGCTGGGTATAGCTTATGACCTAGCGCTTGCCAGCATGGCATTGAGCCCTGGTTTGGATCCCCAGGATTGCACAAAAAAGAGAAGAGCAACAAATAAAAAACTCCAAACAAACAAACAAAAACAAAAATAAAATCCCAAATCACTATGGCAATACTTATGATCATCATTACTTCCAAAAAAAAAAAAAAGAAAAAAAGCATCTCATTCCTTTTACCTCTTCTTCAGACATAGCCAGCAAAGTCTTCACCAGTGGCCACCACTGTGCTTTTACTTTCACTTAACTCAACCCTTGAATCAGAGAAGGAAGTTGCATGCACCTTTCCTGGATTTTGCAAGACACTGCATCAGGCATGTTGCCTACAATCAAGATGTTTCTTAGTGTGAAACCACAAAGATCATATCCCCATTGTTTCTGACAAAGAAGCATCAGGGACCTACACTGATTTATCACCAACCTGAGATAAAAATGGCTTCTCTTCCAACCTATCAGTTTCTCAAAGTCAGGCAACATTTCCTTCTGTGCTGATAAACTTCAGGCCATGGTGAGCGACAAATCATCCTTAACTGTACCCATTGTTCTTCTGTAAACATTCAATACTATATATAGTTCAGAAGTCCTGGTAAATTCAACTTTGCTTTAAATATCTGATTTTCCTTTCAGTGCTGATTTTGAGTATTTTGAGTTCCTTTCCCAGCCCTGGCGGATCCGAGTAAGAGTCTTGTCTATGCATGGCACGATGAGTATAAACTTCATAACCAGCACAGTGCAAGGAATGACGAGTGCTAAAATATAGGCTGAAGGAAGATACCATCTTAGACTTGAAGGGTTGAGGAATCTCTTCCCGCCATACACCAGGGTATGGGCTGTGCACAAGATCAGGGTCAAAAATCCCAGTTTGGACTATAAGCAAGAAACAAAAATATGTGCATTAACATTACTTATACCTTAAAGTGAAACCCTCCAACAAATATTTGAAACTTGTAATATTTAGGACACTCTGTTAAGTGCAGAAAAAAGCACTAATCCTCCTTCAGGAAGGTAAATTTTTCATTAAAAAAAAAAGACTTGCTTATAAATGACATGTTTGTTAGCTTACCTTTAACCTGGCTTGGTGAAAAAGTTTCTCAGGGTGAACTCTT